ACACCAGAGTGTCATGCTGCCATCCAGAGGGACCTCAACAGGCTGGAGAAATGGGCCAAGAGGAACCTCCTGCATTTCAACAAGGGGAAGTGTAAGGTCCTGCACCTGGGCAACAATAACCTCATAGACCAGTGTGTGCTGGAGAACCAGCAGTTGGAATGCAGCTTTGCAGAAAAGGGATTGGGAGCTATTGGCGGACACCAAGTTGAACATGAGGCAGCAACGTGTCCTTGGCTGCATTAGGAGGAGCGTTCCTGACAGGTTGAGGAGACTGATCCTTCCCTTCTACTCAGCACTGGTGAGGTCACACCTGGAGTGCTGTGTCCAGTGCTGGGCCTCTCAGGCTGTGAAAGACATGGACATGCTGGAGATAGTGCAGTGAAGGATCAGAAGGATGATGAAGGGACTGGAGCACCTCACATGTGAGGAAAGGCCAAGAGAGCTTCCTGCTCCTGATTTTTTTTTTAGATTTTTTTTTTTTAATTTTTTTTTTTTTTTTGAAGACTACTGATTTGTAAATGTTTATTATTGCTTTAGCTCAGTAATTCATTTCCTGCCTCCTGACGATGCTAGCTAATACCTATCATCTTACATGGGTATACATAGAGGTGTTTTGGGGTTTGTGGGTTGGGTTTTTTTTTGTGATTTCTTCCATGTCATCTCTCAAACAGGTTTTATTTTTGTTTTGATTTTGTGTGATTCTAATCCAGTAATTTTTCTCTAATACATTTTAAGGCATCCAGTAAATTATTCTAAACTAACCATTACCCTTCTCTTTTCCTGTTTATGTAGGCTTTTCCTTAGGTGGTTTTTCTTTTTAAGAAGTGTTCATGACAAGATCTTCCCATAAATAATTTTTTTTCCTAGCAATTAAAGTTTTGTATGTGTTGTGTAAAACCTTTCTGAACTAGTATGAGCCTTTCATTTGAAAATGTTTGGACTAAACCATGTGTCTGTCCAAGCTGTATTTCTGTGTTAAACTAGATCTTGCCAGCTGGAGCAGGCCTTGGCCAAGGTGGGTGATACTCCATTTTTGAATCTGGAAAAAGCTCTGTAGCCTCTGCTGCATTCCGTCCACTGAAGTGCATGCGGCAGTTCATTTTTCTGTCAGTAGAGGTCATTCTGAGCCATATTTTTATAATGTACATTTTTCAAGTCCTGTGGATAGGTTACCATTATGCCTGCAAACCAGGAGAGAAAAACCTTTTGAATATTTCTATTAATGATCATTTAATCCTTCTTATGAAAATGCTTAAATTGTTGCCTAATTTTTCTGAAGTTACTATCTCTTTTTAAAAAAAGTCCCTTTTAAACTTGGATTAGTTATTGGTTATTTTATGAGATATGTATGTTACTATCTGCTTTTGTCTGAGAAGAATATAGTAATGACCTGCTTCAGTTCTTACAAGGACACTGATGATGTTTATGAGAACATATTTACTTTTGCCTAAAGTGGTAACTATTGCATATGTCTTAATCATGGCTCAGTTCTGTTAGGTAATCTATAAGCACAAAGTAGTAGACTTGGCCCAAGAAAACTACAGTCTAAGTGGGGATAAAAAAGATGTATTGGAACAAGATTTTTTTTTTTTTTTAAATTCCATTTTATAGCAGAGCAGCTGTGAAATATAGTGTTTGAGTCTGTGTAAGTCTACGCTTCATACTCTTGGAACTCTCCAAGCTGAATCAAGATGACTGTTCCTGTGGTACCTTGTGCCATGCCAAGGTCCCTTTTCCATCTGCACCTGCAAGTCAACAGTTGCAATCAATGGAGAATGAGGCCACTGAGGCTGCTTTTCTCTCTGTGCTGGCATATCTGGGTGGCCATCCATTGAGCCAGACTAAGGAAAACTTGTTTGGGCTACGTGAACTGTGTTAGCTTTTTACCATCTAAACTGTATTTTTAAGAACTTTCATCATGTAAACAAAATAGTGGTTTGTTTTTGTTTTTTTTTTTTAAAGCAGAGACAAGTAGTGAAAGCCAAGAGGCTTAAGATCTTGCTGATATCACTGTGTTTCATGTTACATCAGCTGATGAGCAGGGCTCAGGCTGTGCATCATCTCCAGGCTACTACTGTGACAGCCACCGATTGACTCCTGTGTCCAGGTGTTCCTTCATACACACACCCCCTGTCAGTTGGTCAAATGGAGCCAAAGCCTTGGGGTTGGTGCTCCACCAACTCACCCACACCCAGGAGGCAACGAACGGGCTGGAGCAGCAGGCACGGCAGAGCTCAGCAGTGGCCAAAGGGACTGGTCCTCACTGCCACAGGCAGCACCATCGCATCAGGCAGCACCAGGGCACACAGGTACATTTCCTGCCTAACCAGCCCCTCGCACGGATGGAATCAGAGTCTCTGCAGTCAGCCTTGGTACTTAAAGGTTGTACCACTGAACAGCACGATGGATTTTTTTTTCTCATTCCTGAATTTACCTCCCTCTTGTGTGCAATTAAGCAGGATGTTTTTTTAAATAGGTGTCAGTGATGAATGTGATCACTGAACCACTGTATCCTACATGTATCATCTCACCTGTTTGTCCCCATTTCCTTTCCTCACTACTACAGCTTATCTGGAGCAGAAACCTCTGCTCCCCTCCCTCTCCCCTAAGAGTGAATCTGCTGCTTCCAAAATAAGGAGTCCCTTTCAAGCTACATAAAGATGGAGCTAATAGTTACTGGCTTAGGTTCTCTTCCTCCCCTTTGAGCACAGATGTCAGTTTTATACCAAATTTATATGAGGAGCATGTGCTCATCTTGATATTGCTGCATTTGGCATTGGTTTAGGTGATAATTTTCTGCACACGGAAGTAGGAAATTCACCAGTATGTTAGCTAGCTTATAGGGTAACTAATAATAAGAATCAAAGCGCTGATACAGAAATTGCAGACTTCACACAAGGCAAACCACATTAACTAAAGGTTCTAAAATGTAAAGTAAACTTTATTATCCTTGAACCACAAAATAGATTTCTTTGGTTGTACAAATTTCACTAGTTACAGTCTTGATGCGCTAATTTTCCCTCAGAGTCTCTCAGGAGAGAATGGGAGAGAACCCAGAGCCTGGCACCAGGTATCACAAAGGGAAAGAAAAAAAGAATCACAAGTTAGTCACCAAAACCAATCCAGGATTGTTTCCAAAATTGCTGTTGTTAAAAAGCAAATGCTAAAATTAGATTTAAAAAGGAAAAGCTCAAATTGCTGATGATGGAAGCAGCCACGGCTGCAGTTTGAGATTATCAGTTTTCCCCTTCAAAGCTCTGTAAAATTAAAACATATGAAGTCAGTTAAAACGATCCACTGGATTTTGGCATGAAGGGAGATTCTCAACTAAAAGAAACTGCATCCAGTTCTTTCATTCAGCAAATATACAAGCAGAAGTGCCTGTCGCTCCCAAGCCACTTTGAGTCACTGAAAGGCTTAAGGTCCAACTCTGGTCTTACTGCTGGAGAGGTTCAGC